TTTTAGTGTTAAAATTAAATTATTTAAAAATTTAAATGTATGACCAAAATGGTGATTGCCCTGTACTACATAATGTACAACCGTTTATAAGGACCAAATTCTATTAATGGTATATGTGATCATAATATGTGGCGGTTTGCTATTTTTGATAGGTAATGATGATTAGGGACAATGATTTTTTATTCAATATTTTTTTGAGTATAAGATTTATTTTATTTTATTTTAAATTGTATAATAAGAGATAATATTATATTATTTTTTTAATTTATTTTATTTATATATTATATAATTTAAATTTACATTTTTTTACTTTTATTAAAAAAATTATTACTAAATTATTTAAATAGTTAATTACTAAACATCATATTAAATCAATAAATATATATTGATTCACATTTGTTGATAGAGATTTTACACAATTTTTTTTTTTAAGAGTATAGATTAAGGGATAGAGTATATTTTATGAAAATTAGGTGATATTTAATGACATTTGCTTAGTTTTTTCTTTATGACAAATGTATCCCTATTAAATACTTAAAAAAAAAAACCCTCAAATTTTGTAAAAGAAAAAACCCTTCTCCTTCGGCTTAATTAACCCCTATAAGTTATAACCCTTCCAGCTGTTTGTTTTTAAATCATTAGCACCTCAATATAAATTTTATGTACCTTATTCATAAACTTCACCTCATTATTATAATTGACTTTAAATAAATGAAATCCCATCATATGAGTTGAGTGGTTGTTCTTATTCCGTTACCCTATCCTTAATAGATCCTTTTGACATAAAGATGGTTCACTTGTACTCATTAAGGGAGGAAAAATTTTGCCTAAAATGAGACTTATGTCCCCTTCATGTGTGCTTTGGGTGAAATTTTTTTGTCTCTATGGATCCAAACAAACTATTCTTGTTGTAGATGGAAAGTATTTTAAAAATAAATTTTTTATATAATTTTTCATACAATATTACATGTTATTTAATAATTAATTCTTTTTACTATATTGAAACTTATGATATTATTTGTATTTACTTATTTAATAATATATAAAAATTGTAAATAAAAATTATTTTAAAATGTTGTTTGCATATCATTGCCCTATTATAGAATTGATTTTGGTTGCTCCCTCCTATCTAATTTAGTTGTCAACTCACTTATTTTCCATTATCGAGAAATTTATTTATTACAATAATTAAGACTTATCTTTTCAATTTTTATCTTTATTTAATATTATACTCCCTTCAATTGGATTTAGTTATCTTAATTTGACTTTTATATAAAATTTAATTAGACAATTTTATAGAATTAGATCTTTGTGTTGAAGTGATTCGTCCCTAAATCTTAAGGAACTTGGGTTAGTTAGTCGGGATTGCGAGTCCAATCAACACTTTGAAAAATCTCCCTCCCCCAATCCCCCAAATTTTAAACTGTTTAAAAAAAAAGATAATTTTATAAAATAAATAGATGATAGTAGAAATATTTTTCCTTTCTATATGTAGTATTTGTTGAGTATTTTCACTTAAATTAAAAAAATTTTAATTATCATTCATTTACTACTTAAAATTATCATGTTAAAATCTATGTAAAAATTAAATT